TTAACCTATTGACAAGTCAAATATTTCATTAAAACTTCAAAAACTACTCAATAACAAAATTCCATCTAAAACCCCATTTTACAAATCCATCTCTAAAACACTCATATGGTTGTTTTGATACAATATAAGCTTTTCTTAAGCTTATATACTACTCGAACTTCCATTATAAACCCAAAGATTAAAGTAAAACTGAAAAATTAACATTCTTACCTTTGAAGAGGGAGCTCACGTAGAAGAATGAAGCAAAGAAATATTTTCCAGACACTTCTCTCTTTAACCCAAACTTATCCAATGTAAAAGCCATTTAAAATATCCTTCCATGCAATTTACCATTTTACCCTTATTAAACATCCATATTTGCTATAACACCCAAAACAAAAATTCTTTCTTAAATCCTTGAATTATCACATTATTCTAATTCAACCACTGAGTTTAGAAGTACTTACATTTTGGTCACTAACCCGCTAATTGGGATGTTACAGCAGTTATGGGGAACTGCATATGGAATGTTTGGTTGAAGGGTATTATAGTGATTTTAAAATCTATTTTACTAAAATAAACTATTATGGTTTTTAAACCATGATTTCATTTACTCTGGTTTTGAGGGAACACACTAGATATCCTATTCCGATATCCTCAATCTTCTCTCTGAACATTTCATCTGAACTATAAGTTTCATGATGGTTACTTAAAGATTTAATAGTGAACTCTTAACTTATCACTGGAACTTTTATATGTTTGGATAACTAAAAACAATTCATGCCTTGTTATATATTTATTGGTCCTCTAGCATCATCAGGTAGTTTTGTATTACCAAGTTTCCCAAAGGCCACCATGTTATTTACCACTTTAGGTTAAAGATCAATATTATACAGTTATCAACATCAATATGGGAGTTTCTTCGACGCTGCTTGAGAGTACGGTACAGGTGTAATTAGAGGACATGTAAGCCGTATTTGTTTTTATTTTGAGTCTATATTTTCTTTTGACATGAGACACTATTGAATTATATTTTAATATGTGAATGATTTTTTAAAGTTTTTTTTTTATTTCTAAATTGTTTTACGGTTTGAAATGGCTTAACAAAAAATTTATTTTTCCTAGATTTTCATTTGGGTCACTTTTGTGGCCATAATGTGACACCCCAGATTGGATTGGGTCACCCGTATCGGTCTGAGGATGTTACATTATTGCATTATTCCATTTATAAAATTTGAAATGAAGTTTATTATGTGATTTATAGGGTTTAAAGTAAATTAAAAAAATATAATTAAGTATGGGCTAATTTCAGATACAAGTATAATTTTAAGGACTAAATTGAACAAATATAAAATTATAAATTAAAATTAAAATAAATTAAACAACACACGAGGCCAAATCGAAATAATTGTAAAATATGAAAATGAAATTAATATAAAAATAAACTAAATTGCATTCATTTCAAAAGTTGAGGAAAAAGTAAAACAATATATATATATATATATATATATATATTATATGATGAATGTTATGATAACATGATGCATGAATATATAATCTACATTATACTTATGCATATTTTGCAAGTATACATTATACTTATAATATATTAATATAATATAATATAATATAATATAATATAATATAATATAATATAATATAATATAATATAATATAATATAATATAATATAATATATAATATAATATAATATAATATAATATAATATATAATATAATATAATATAATATAATAATAATAATATAATATAATATAATATAATATAAATATAAATAAATATAAATATAAATATAATATATAATTAATATAAATATAATATATATATATATAGTTATATTTATACTTATATAAGTATATAAAATAGTATACATTATACTTATATATATATATATATATATATATACATTATACTTATAATATATTAATACATATATATATATATATATATATATATATATATATATATATATATAAGTATGTATATACTTATAAGTATATTATAAGTATAATGTATAATATAAGTATCTATATATATACATAGGAATAAATTAAATAAATACAAAATTCCAAGTTGAAATTAAAAGTAATTAAAATAAGCTATGGATTAAATTGAATTAATTTAACTTTAGAAGACAATACTACTATCTCCATAAAAGCAAGGGCCTAGAAGCCCTAATTAAAAAGTAACATAAATACTATTTTTTTCACAAATTCAAGTTTATTTTTATCATTTTTTTATTTCTCTCAATCTCTCTAAATTATTTTTCTTGAAAAATCCTTTCCCCTTTCTCTAGAAGAACAACTGATTTCCAAAATTCAAAACCTTTTTTTAGATCAAACACATAAAACTAATCATTGTTCTTCGTCCATTCATCCAAAAAAAAACCCTTTCGATAAAAAAATATAAAATTTCATTCTTTTTTGTGTTTTTTTTTTGGATAAAAACAAAAAAATCGTAAAAAATTACTCATCATTTCTTCATCACTTTCTCTCTTCGATACAAATAAACATAAATAACTCTTCATTTCTTGTTTTTTAGATCTAACCCAAACATTCAACCCCTGTTCTTCATTTGTTCATCCCAAAAAAAACCTATTCAATCAAAAAAAAAACATAAACTTTCATTCATTTTTTCGATAAAAAAAACCTTAAATTTTCTTCATCAGTTCTCATCCTTTTCTCTTTTTGATCCAAATAAACACAAAAAATTCTTCATTTCTTGTTTTTTAGATCAAACCCAAAAAATCTCCTCGTCTTCTGTTCCACTGTTTCAAATAAACACATATCATTCTTCTATTCTTCTTGACTCCTTCCATTTCTTCAGTCGAATCCTTTCATTTTTTAGGGTTCAATGGATAGTCAATCTAATGAGTTAAACTTTCCAGTAAAAATTTTAATTTTTTTCTTTTTTCCTTTTATTTGTTATTCTTAAGTGTTCTAACAAATGTTTTTTTTCATTGTGCATGCAGGAAATCTACAAATAGATAGAATTGAACAACAGTACCAGAAAGGTAACAAATCACTATTTTTTTACTTTTTTTATTTTATTTTATTTTATTTGTTTATTTTATTTGTTTTCTTTTATATTTTATTTGGTTTTTATTTTATTTGTTTTTAATTTTTTATTTGTTTTTGTTTTCTAGTTTATTTTGTTTTCTGTTTTTATTTTTATTTGTTTTCTTTTTTATATATATATTTTATGTTCTAATAAATGATTATTATTATTTTGTTTGAAGAGGATTTAAATTATCAACATTACATAACTTTTGATGACATTATTTCCTCTAAGAGGATGGCTTCATCAGAATTCGAAAGAACTTTTCCTGTTTGAGATCATTATTATACCTTCATCAAGCCTCGTGAAGGTGGTCTTTATGCTCAATGTAAATATTGCAAGTCATTAATTTAATTTATACTTACATATTTATCATTCACTTTATCAATTCCAAATCATTAATTTAATAATTTTTTGAATATATTTATAGGCTACAATTTATAAACATAAAAAACAAATACATTAATTTAATTATCAAACTCTAAATTGTAACTTACAAGTTAGGTAACTATCGATTAAGTTTAATAACAGGTCGGGTCATTTACATGTTGAGTCAATTACAAGTCAAGTTTACAACAAGTCAGGTTGATAACAAGTCGGGTAATATCAGTTATTTACCAGGTTAATCTCAAGTTCGAGTTCATATTAGGTCGAATGCAGGTTGGGTCATGTTCAATTCGGGTTCATATCTTTCTCAAGTCGGGTACAGTTCGTAAATTTACAAGTATAACCTGGTTTAGATCAACACCAGTTCATACTCGAATCAATTTTGAATCACCACCACCTCGGGTCATAAACATTTTTGAACTAAGTCGATTTCATTCAATTTTGCAAGTCGGGTCATTTTTTACATCCTTTAAGAAACGAAGTTAAGTGACATTGGATTGACACCTAAGGAATGACCAACAATGGTATTCCAACCTGGGGTGGGTGTTTGACAGAGATGGTGACAGTCGACCGACGACAACAACGATGGCAGTAGGTTAGGGTTAAGATTTGGAGATAAATTTAAGAGTTTTTAAGGATATGATTTTTTTGGTAATTTTAGATAATTTAGGGTTTTTTTTAAAAAAATTGAAGTTTTCAAAATTTTGCATTTGTTTTTATTCAAAATTTTTGAGTTTTTTTTAATAAAAATATATTATTTTATATTTTAATTTAAATAGAATTTTTAAAATTATCAGAATGTGACACGTATAACTTAATATTGGAATTTAATGATCGTTATAATTCGGACACCTAAAGTGGTAACGTTTGTAACGATAAACACCTTAATGATTCCAAAAAAAAAAAGTTACACCTATTTAAAAAAAAAAAGATATAGTTTGAACATTTATCCTATAATTAAGCCTAAAAAACTTAATATTTAAGTGACTATTTTTTTCAGTTGATGGGAAGAGGCAAATACCTAAAGAAATGGAAGGAATCACGTTCTGACCATTTTGACCCACAAGTGCTATTGTTAGTAATATTCTTTTTCATTTTGGTGGGAATCAATTCAAACCAACATGGGAATAGGGTTACCCCAAGTAATAATCTTTTCCGTGCTGGTTCCATAGTAGATAAGATAGGGAAGGTGTACCATTAGTCGCCAAAGTTATCGGAGGGACGATGAGCAACAAAGCATAGTTGAACATTCAAGAAAGTGATGGTCAGCAAACAGATTAAAGCACCGCCTACACTGTACAATTTGCAAACGCTGAGATTGTTTGCTTCCAATCGGAATTGTCTCGATCATCAAAAGCTTATGCTCCGTTCCACTTCTATACATCTCATCCAAAGATGTCTTGACAAGATCCCACTTCAATTTTAGCAGTACGGCAAATGGAGGAATTCTAGACATCAAAAGCCTAGGAGCATTCATGTTGTCACTCTTGGACATTTGCTAATTTGCTATGAGCCATGCCAATTCTAATCTCAAAAAATAAATCTTTTTCAAACTCTAGTTGGACTGAACATAAAATTATTCCTTCCTCCTCCAAAGAAATTCACTTCTCCACGAAAGAGACGCTCAAGGAAGTCATAGAAGTTCTACAAATACCAAGTCACATAATTTGATCAAAATAAAAATTAGTTCCAAGAAACTAATAACCAACAATTTACTACTACTAGAAGACAGACCCTGCATCATGGCCTTTTAGCTAAATCACTGCTGCTGTCATCGTCATCATCCCGAAGGCTCCCGTTCACTGGCTCATTCGAGTCAAATGCTTCTCCTTCCCCCTTCAAGCCATCTTCAGCACTACCTAATTGATCACCACCATCAAACCCCATAGTCTGACTACCATATCCAGCTGGACCACCACTGGCAACATTACCAATGCCGCCACCGCCACCAACATTGAAACTCCCACTATCAAAATTGCTTGCAGCAGACTGATCAAAACCACCATAATTTCCTTGGCCTCCATAGTTACCACCACCACCATATCCAACATTACCCCCATAATTTCCAGAAGCAGGGCCAGCATTTCTGTTGTAGCCACCGCCACCGCCATAATTACCACCACCATAGCCGCCGCCGCCATAGCCACCACCACCACTGCCATAACCACCACCATCACCATAGCCGCCGCCACCATAGTTACGAGGAGGTCTCTCAGCTGCATAGTTTACTCTTACTTGACGGCCATGGAGAACCTACAATAAGAATTCAGACAACCAAAAAACCCCACAAATAACTACAGCGGATATAAGAACCAAAACTGTTATGTTAAGCATCTGCAAAATCAAACAGGGTAGACAAAGATAAAACTACTGTTGTCACCATTATCTATACCAGACGGATTAACCAAGAACATTATGATGATAAAACGTCTCACACACCAAACCAATTACTTGAACTTACATGCGCAAATTAAGGCCTACATGACAAAAAATTTGAAGTACTGAAAATAATTCATAAGTTGAGGCGATTGAGAAAATTAGCGTGGAATTTGTAGTTCACTTAAAAAGCAACAACAAACCAATAGGCCTAGAAGCAATATATGAAAGTGATCCCGGTAAGTTGCCAAGGGAAAACGAGTTACAACATGAACATTGAGACCTTGACAAAGAATACACTATGTTTCAAGATGCTAATAGTGAATTTGACAAGCATATATTCACATAAAATTAACTTGGGATGCAATAATTCTAAATACATCATTCACATTAGTATTAACATATATTAACATAGGCCTAGATGCAATTTGCAGCCAATATAATACAAAAGCTTTTACCATAGTTGCAGCACAATGAGAAGAATAGACCCAATAGGATTACAAAACGGAAATTACATGCATCATATTCTAATTTTGATCTCTCCGTACAAAACTTCAAGTATATATGCTCATTATAAAATACATCAACAGAAGCTTAAAAAAAGATCAACAACCTGCAAATACCCCAAAACTGCCAATATGAAAGAAGTAAATTCCTCTAAAATAGATACTTAGATGACTTATAGTACCTGTCCATCCAAGGCCTGTATTGCGCTGGAAGCATCATCAGTACTGGTGTATGTGACAAAGCCAAATCCTCTAGATCTTCCTGTTTCTCGGTCTACAATTACTCTTGCTACAATATATATCACATTAATCAGCTGTTTTACAAAAACAAAAGCAGTGGACACAAAAAAGCTTGACTGCAAACTCAAAGTACACCATATTCAAAATCATAGACTTGAAGTTAAAAACATTCATTAGCATCTAAATCTTCACGGGACATGTCATTAAACTAAAAAACTATGAACCAACATGACACTCAACATGTAGAGGTAAATATTTAAGCATCTCAGAAGACCTTTTAAATCCCTTTCATAATGGCAATTACATATCGAATTAAGCAAATGCATTTGCAGCAGAATACCTTCAACAACTTCACCATATTGGCTAAAAGCTTCCCTCAGACCTTGGTCGTCAGTTTGGAATGAAATACCTGCGATCAAAGAAAGTTAACAGGAAACCCTTGGGAAAACATGTAGCAGAAAGTATTTGACTACTAAAGCATAAACAAAAGTTGGTTTCACACCTCCGACAAAAACTTTCGAGCTTGGTGAGTTTGACATGCACCGAAACACTTGAAAAAGGCCTGGCCTCGAAGAAGACAACTGAGCATTGACCTGCGTAGTTGACGTCTGCCTAAGCATATTCCCGATTTTACTTAAGAAAGCCATTGTTGAATCCTAAGAGAAACGATAAATCAAACCTCACTTTCAAGAAATGAAATAGGCAAAGTAGAACAGTAATAATAAATAGTGAAAATGATGTAGATGGAAATGGAAATCCAAGAATAGATAGTACAGAAGCAGATTAGAGAAGAAGATGATGATGAACTGTTAAGATACAGAGGAAGAATGACAACAAAATATTTCATTCCCATTTTCACAATGCTAACCCTAATTACAATTGGGGGTTTTAACCCAGCCTCATATCCCCCACTAATAAAACTATAAGTATAGAAGTATAACCCTCCAAATACATGGGAAAACACAGAAAAAGTCGAAAACAGACAAACATTAAAGGTAATTCTAAACAGAGTAACCCATTTTACAAGATTTGAACTTTCCCTCGTGTTGATCTCTTACCTTAATCACACTTAAAACCCTAAACCAAATTAACAAGAATTTTTCTTTTCTGAGGAAGAAGCTCTTTCTTTTCCAAGCTCAAATGCCACAAAACAAACAAGAACTAAACATCAGTCCAATATCGATTTTCAGTCATCTCCCAAGAAACCCAATCCTTCGTGATCTTATGCAACAAAATCAGATTATTGTATAATATTATGAAACACCCAACACAGAAATCCGAAACTACAAGAAAATTAGGGAAAAGAAAAAAGGAGCACCTGAAAACGGCACAGCAATTAAGAGAGCCTTTCAAATAAAACAGAAGAACGGCCTAAATTGATCAAAATAAAAAATGAAACACCAGAGAAATCGAAAGTAGAGCTTAGGGGTTTTCGAAGCTTACCCTTTCGATTATGAGACTGGCAGACCAGGAGCTTGCATCTCTTTGTAAAAACCCTCGGGGTTTAAGTAGTCGGGGCGGCGTTCGGATATTCTACCTGCAACTTTCTTTTACACGTGTGTCTTTCTTATTGGGTTGTCTTTTTCAGGTCTGTAACAGTTGGAAAATCTCAGATTCTTTTAGTTTTATACGGTCGTATGATTCCAAAATATGTATAACCTCAAAGTTAAGGTTGAAACGAGGTTTTTAATTTTTTTTATTAATACGGATAAGTATAAGAAAATATTTATTTAAAGATAATTTTCAACTCTTTGATATTAAACGTTTATATTTCTGACATTTCTTGTGCTCGAATTTCATACCTCAAGAAATAATAACAATTTCTTTATTACTTAGACCACTTGGTTCGTGCATGTTTTTCTTTTAATTTAGCTAAAGTGACTATAAAGTAATATATATTTTAAATACTCTCAATCATTTAACAATGATCGCTCAATCATCCTGCTACAGTTGCTAGTGCTCGAACTCGTGATATTTAAAAACAACAACAATTCATTTAACTACCAATGTTTTTAAATGTTTTATGAATTGTAACTTAATCATGATCTGGTACTGCAGAGGTAATAGCGACTCTCCCAACCCAGCTTGAAATGATAAATTTAAAATAGATTATCAATATAAACTGATGTTACTAATAATGGTTGATTCAAGTGGTAAACAACATGATATTTAAGTAGGTCTCGAGTTGGAGTTTTTCTGTATACATAAAATCCCTATTAGGAGCCTCACCGACCAAAATAAGGCGTGCTACCGGGTCACCGAGACGGCAACAAAAAAAAAATATAAACTGATAAACTTCATATAGTTCAAAACTGTTGGAATGAACACAATTTAGGAAGAAAATAGCCTAAAAACGCACAAAACACATTTGAAGAAAACAAAAAAGAAAAACCCCATTATTGTTCTCAAGAAGAACACATTAAGTCCAATTATTGAACAGAACAAATTCCAATGGATTTCTCATAAAAAAAACATTAGGATGATAAAACATGATACTATCTGTCATGTCGTCCATGTTTATAGGAAGAGATCAACAATGCAATCTTATCCAGCAATTTTGATGCATTAGCCTTATCATTGTGTGATGTCCATTCCTGAAAATTATGAAGGCTGCCTGTGAAGTCCGTAAACAGACCGTCAACTCCGACCTGGTTTATCCAATAATCATATTCCCGGTAAGGATCCTGATGGAAATCCAAGGGTAAAAAATTGTTTTCGTTGCGGTAGGTGTATGGATGAACCTGTATCGTAAGCCAATGTTACATATCAAAGCAGCCAGCTCAATGCTAACAATCAAAAGGTATAAAATAGTAAGTACCTGCAGACCCCGAGCGTGTGCTCGGACAACAAAATCTGTTGGTGCTTGTAATTGTCTTTAACAGGAACCAGTGTATCTTTCCAGGGCCCAATGCCGACCACATATTCCTTAATGAAGTCGAGATATTTATTAGATGTAATTTCCCGATATGACTGCAATCACGGTTGCATTTTCTTTCATTAGATACCATATTGCATGCAGCTATAAGGCCATATTTCATGTTTCCATTGTGAAAAGTTGATCCGTTAAGGGGGAATTTTCTTTCGATCGACCACATACTCACGAAGAACAAGACTACAGGGAAAGAACAAGGGTGCTTCTGGGACAAACCTGAATAGTATCCTCTGCCAGTGTCATGATCTAAGGATGATGACCTGATCTAATCAACACAACAAGCCAGTAAGCATAGAAGTATAGCTATGGAGAAGGAGAGGCAGTACCCTCCAGAGCTCATTGAATAATTCCGTAACATCTCCAAAGGGAGACCGGCCTATTTATATAAGGATAGAAAGAGTAGTTAGAGATTGGTTACTAAAAACCGTCTTAACCACATCTCAACTGATTATAACAATTAATTCTTAATATTCTAGACTCACAACATTCTCCTTTCTTCCTTACTTTTTCCAGACTCTCCCTTCTTGAGCTCAAAACAAAACAGTGCTGAAGAAAGAAAATCAACATGACAATGGAAAAACGGACAACTTGCCTCTAAAACAATAAAAATTCACTGCTGATAACGGCTTAGTCATTATATCTTCAATTTGTTCATAAGCTGGAACCTCATTGACTAGTAACTTTCCAGCGATTACCTTCTCCCGAACAAAATACAAATCCAACTCAACATGCTTAAATTTCGAGTGCATAACTGGATTTGCCGAAACTGCAACCGCACTCGAATTATCACACCAAAGTGTAGGTTTCCCTTCTGAAGCAATGTGAAGCTCACTGAGCAAAGACTGAAGCCACAAAATTTCAGCTTTCGCACATGCCACACTCCGGTATTCAGCTTCCGCTGTCGACCTCGATACAACCTGTTGTTTCTTTGAACCCCAAGATACAGGGTTTCCCCCAAAATAAATGCAATAGCCTGTAGTAGACCGTCGATCATCTGGGTCAGAATCCCAATCAGCATCGGCGAACCCCATTATAGCGAGACGCGAAGTACTAGTAAACTTCAACCCATAGTTCACCGTACCTTGAAGATAGCGCAAAATTCTTTTAACAGCCTGAAAATGAACATCAGTTGGAGCTTGCATAAATTGACAGACCCAATTTACAGCAAACAAAATATCAGGTCGCGTGATGACAATGTATTGTGGAGCCCCGACAATACTTCTATAATCTAATATATTCATGATCGCTGTTCCATCTCGAAACGACAACCTACAACTGCTTACCATTGGCGTAGGTAAACTTTTAGCATTCTCATACCCAGTTTTTTCAATAGTTCTTCGATATATTTGCTTTGATTTAGAACCAAACCATCTTTCGTATAGCAAACCTTGATACCCAGAAAATAGTGCAACATACCAAGATCTTTAAGTGAGAAGACTTTGTCCAGGTTAGAGATAACTTTCTGAATTTTAGCATTATCATTACCGGTGACAATTATATCGTCTACGTATACAAGATAAATCATACCTCCATCTGTCTTTCGAACGAAAAGAGAAGCATCGGATTTAGACAACTTGAAACCTTCTGAAATTAAATATATCGCTTTATTCAACTTGCAAACCAAATTTCCATTGGTTCCATGTTCAAACCCCGGTGGTTGAACCTTGTATACTTCTGTCAAATCCCCGTTTAGAAACACATTATTAATGTCAACTTGACGTAGTTTCCATCCTCTCGTAACTGCCACTGAAAGTATTGTTCTGACAGTGACTGGTTTAACAATCGGACTGAAAGTTTCATGAAAATCAAGACCAGCCTATTGTAACCTTTAGCTACAAGCCTCGCTTTGTATCGAGCAAGAGACCCATCCGCATTCTTTTTAACCTTGAAAATCCACTTACAATTGATCGCTTTCCTATACGATGGCAATTCAACAAGTGTCCATGTATCGTTCTTGATAAGCGCTGTTGGATCATAAACTTGATCCATTATGGGAGCCTAAACCCAAACCCAAACTAAATTGATGTCATTACTTACATCATTTAATTAAAGATGTCATTGCTTACATCATTTAATTAATGATGTCATTGCTTACATCAATTTAGTTAGGTGAGAGTTAGATATTTGTTGAATTTGTAATGGTTTAAATTAGTTTATTTGTGTGGTGTAGGATTGTTCTTGAGTAGTATAAATACCCCTTCCCATTTTAGTTTTAAGCATCAAGAAAAATTAAGAGCTTCTAAGTGAGTGAAGAAGCAAAGTCTTATAAGAGTGAGTTGTAGTTCTTGTTTTTGAGTGAGAGTACTCTTGTAATATTTGTTTGAGTTTCAATAAAAGTTGTTTGTGTGAGTGTTTTATTTCCAACAAAGTGGCATCAGAGAGAGTTGGAAAGATCGAAGGTCTCGACGAGAGGAATACGACGCCGCCAGAATTTTCTCAATCTGAGTTCTGACGCACCGCCACGCACCGCCGGAAGACTGCTGCCAGAAAATCGAGTTGACTCACCGAGTTGAGCCGAGTCAGCCGAGTTGGAGCCCTTGACCGAGTTGTCCAAGTCCCTCCAAAGTTTTTTTTTCATCGTTCCGGATACATCCGTGCAATCGGATTTTACAAAATCTCATTATATTGAGAGATATGGCAAATGGTATGGCACCATTCCAAGTTCCGACACTCAACAACAACAACTACGACAATTGGAGTATCAAAATGAAAGCACTTATTGGATCACAAGATGTGTGGGATATCATAGAGAAAGGCTATAACGAGCCTGCGGATGATGATGTTTTTGCTACTCTTACACCAGATCAAAAGACAACTTTGAAAGATTCAAGAAAGAGAGACAAGAAGGCTCTCTACCTCATCTATCAAGCATTAGATGATGATGGTTTTGAAAAGGTTTCAAGTGCAAGCTCTAGCAAGGAAGCGTGGGAGAAGCTGCAAACCTCTTACAAAGGATCCGAGCAAGTGAAGAAGGTTCGTCTCCAAACATTAAGAGGTGAATTCGAATCCTTAAACATGAAAGCATCTGAGTCTATTTCAGATTATTTCTCAAGAGTAGTAGTTGTTTCTAATCAATTAAAAAGAAATGGTGAAAAGTTAGACGATGTGAGGATAATAGAGAAGATACTCCGTTCGCTGGATCCCAAATTTGAGCACATCGTCGTGACGATTGAAGAAACTAAAGACTTGGAAGAAATGAAGATCGAACAGCTCCAAGGATCATTGCAAGCATACGAAGAGAAGCATAAAAAGAAGCATGAGTTTACTGAGCAACTCCTCAAGCTGCAACTCAAGGATATGCATGAGAGCCAACGCAATGATAAAAACCAACGTGGCCAAGGCAGAGGTAGAGGCCATGGACGAGGTGGAAGTCGAGGTCGTGGACGAGGCTGGAATTACAACAATAACAATTCCAACAACAACTATGAGAAAGGAGAAAGCTCAACACGAGGCCGTGGAAGAATTAATCCAAACTCAAAGTATGACAAATCTCAAATTCGATGTTATAATTGTCAAAAATTTGGGCATTATGCTTCAGAATGTAGAGCTCCCAACAACAAAATTGAGGAGAAGGCCAATTACGTG